CTAGTTAACTGCACATAACAACAACAACAACATGTGCATGTGAGGCCAAAAAAAGCACTGAAGCTTGTGAATTCTGCTGTTTGAGAAGAACACTGAATACAACAGGGACTGCCAGAAGAATGAATGAATATATTTGTCTTGGATAAAGTGCAGCCATAGTGCTCCTTAGTTGGGAGGATGGCAAGACCTTGTCTTGAGAATTCTGGACATTTTATCAGGAAGGCCCAGTCCCTGGAGAAGAACATCATGCTTGCTAATACAGAAGGTCAGCCAAAAAGAACACGACTACCATAGGGACAGGCAGTCACAGTGGCTGCAAAAACGGGCTCAGAGGTGAGGCTGGCTGAGCAGGCAGGGTTTCTTTTGTTGTGAGGAGGGTCATTACGACCTCAAAGCACTTCATGGCAACTCTGGAGAATGTGGTGAATCAGAAGTTGTTTCTCAAGAGTGAACATCTAAGGAGAATAAAAAGTGAAATTACCCATCCACCAGACATTGGGTGGCCTACACTCACCAACACTCTCCACTATCCAGAGATAAAATACAGATGTAGCCACTGAACTTAGCAAAACACCCTATCCCTTGCTGCCAAGAAGGATGCCCAATCTCTTTATCTCGAATGTAAAACTCACCCCACCTCCACCACAGAAGGCTAGTTCCCCTGTTCTCCAAACTCAGCACTGGAGGCTTCAAGGGTCAGTCCCAGGCGCCCCACCTGGCGGATCCATCTCGCTAGGGTGAGCAGTCCAGCCAGCACACCTGACAGGTGTCTACCCACTTTCCCCAGGTCCATTCGCAGAAGCACGACCCAGGAGTGCTTTATCTCTGGGGACCGACTGGCAAACAGACAAAACCGGAGCTCGGGGTGGAATTATATAACAATGTAGAGAAGATAAGGCTTCCAGGAAACGAAAGTAGCGCATGGAGGGGCAGGGGGCCGGGAGAGGCGAAGGGAGCGGCGGCGCCGGCACTTACTCGAAGGCGAAGAAGAGTCCGCTGGTGGCGAGGATGAGCACGAGCGTCAGGTAGAAGACGCCGGTCTGCCGGGCCATCATGATTCTCCCGTTGCAGAAGAACTTGTTTCGGCCCGGGAACACCTCCCATTTCCTGCGGGCCGCGATCTTCCTCTTCTTGTGGGGCGACTCCATGGGGGAGGAGCTGTGGGTGCTGATCTGGCTGTACTCGCAGTCGGTCATGGGCCCGCCGCCGCCGGGAGGCATCCACGCGGGCAGCCGGCCGGGGGCACACGCCCCCAGGAGCG